AGGCCATGCTTATTCATTTTGACTGGCAACTATCTGAATGAGAAAAGCTAGGGACTAGCCAAAAAGGTTAGCTATTTTAGAGCTCTTGCTATAACCCTGACTTTCTTAGATTTAATTTATGTTCAGTGTCAGCCTGTCACCCAACTGCCAGATTATGGCTGTGAGTTAATTCAATGCCATGTAAGGAAATCCTCCCCCAGAATGTGAAACTTTATAAAATGCCCTCATGGGCTTTTGTAACCATCATATCCAAACTCCTCCAGTGAGACAAGAGAATAAATTGTCGGTGTTTTACAGGCTGTGAATCAGCCAGCCAAGTGCATTGTCTAGTGCCATGTAGGAAGCCTGAAGAACTGAACCCTATCTCAGCTGCAGCTCCAACCCATGGACCATCCACTCTCTTTCTACAGGAAAATTTTCAGCGCTATTTAGCAGAGAAAGCTAGAGCAAGTAAACCCAATGTGTCATGGTGGGCTTTGGTTTAAACAAACAGACAAAAAAAATGCACAAGAAAAACTAACTAATTATTACAGTATAATTAAAGGCATAAAGAGCATAACAGGAGCTCCAGTTTTCAGCCTGAAATGGTGGGAAGACAGACTAGTGGTGTGTCTCTGAAAGAACCAAATGAATGTACAAAGACCAAAATCCTGCTCCCAAGGCTAGGTGCTGCAGTTACCTGATTACAAAGAAACCTGTTTTTTTTTAACAAAACCCACCAAACTGGTGTCTTGCAATCATGGATGTTGAAAGTTGAGCAGAATATTTGGTGTAGTGGCGTCTACCTAAGCCTTTGGAGTGCCACTTCCAGCCTTCACTGCCCTGAACTACTTTGAACTTCCCTCCTCCCAGCCACCTCAGAAAAGCACACTTCATAGCTAGAGGAGAAAAGTGTAGTGGGACATATCTCCTTTGAAGCACATTTTGACTCATGTACTTATTAGGATTATATGTCCTAAAACAGTCTAGAAATGCTTTGCATTTTAATCCAGGGGAAAACTTCACATGTGTCATGGTAAAGTTACTTTAAAATCAAAGGTAGCAATACTTTTTAGGTCTGTCTGTATGATCACCTAGTGTAAGTATTTCCACTGAGGACTAAAATGGTCTTAGGAGCTTTTCTTTCATGTATTAACTTAGCATTTGAATCTGTCTAGGTTTTGAGAAACATAAATTGCATCTTATGAATGATACATCTGAGAGTACTGGTAAAGGTATTAACTGGAGCTGGGTTTTTGGCAAAACGGTATCTTGAGCTTTATCAATTCAAACACAGTGCTCCTTAATGCAGCTTCATTGGTCTGCTGGGACAATAACAGTTCACATGAAAACATAACTTAGCAGCAGGGTGGCTGGAACAACATCAGAAGCTTTTGGCTTGTCTGTGAATATGGCTGATCTTTTTTGGATGCGATCTTAAAAACCAAACAAACTTAAACAGTACATGTTGCCAAGGAATTAAGTTATTTTTTCCCTTATTTTTGTAGAATATACATTTCTAAAAGCCAGTAACAAAATGAAATATGAAGATCTTAAATGACATAGACACTTTGGAAAGGGCACCTTATTCAGGATATTTTAAGCAGTGTTTCCCTACGGAATAATTATGATCTGAGTGTCTTAGATGCTTACTGCACTTATTGCAAGGGTAGGGGAGTCTTTACACTTAGCACACTTGCTATGAGAGACTGTAAAGGATACCTTTGGAAACAAACACTACAAATCACTATGTGACTTAAGGTACTTGGTTCTTTCCCATTAAGTTTTTGCTCATATAGACTTACTGGAGATAGTGCAGCCACCCCTGATTTACACTAGGGTAAGTGAAAACCAGAATCATGCTCATGGTTATGCAAAAATGTAATCCATAAGTGGAAAGCAAAATATTAGTTTATTTGTCCAGCAACTTATGCCACTCAAACTGTGAGAATTTTTTTGTATCATTATCTCATTATCAGTGGCTAAATAAGGAATTGAAAAACTACAGAGGAGCTGGGCGGAGACCTAAGAAAGCAATTCAGCAGTCTGGAACTTCCTCTGCTAAGCAATTCTGGCACTAAACCCAAGCAATATCAGAGTTATTCAGCCAAAATAAATCTGTGCAATGACGGCATCAGATGTGAGGTAACAGCAAGTCACGCTGAGGATATCAGACATTCTTGAATAATCCACAGGGCCTAGATATAATCCTCTGCCATTACACAGCAGCCCTGCCAGCAAAGCAAACACAAATTTTGGAGTCATTATGGCAAGGCAAGTAAGAGCATATGGAGTCTAATATTTTGCTTAGGGCAGGAGCTGGCAAGCTGCTGAGCACCTTCAGCTCACACGCCCCCAACAGCCATTAAATATCCTTCATTCCCACACTGTGATCCGTGTGGAAGCAAACTGCTCTCTAGTATCATTTCCACCAGAAACAGCTGCAATGCTTATTAAAATCTTTCATTTGCTGTCAGAATGGTATTGATTAAACTTTTCTACCACTAGCTTTCTTTAATTTTTCTATGTGTCTTTACATCTGGGCATATTCTTGAAGGAGATTGGATTGCCTTATTTTAAGAAGCTACTGCCCATCATCTGAGCCATGTAACCAGCCATGCATTACACTCGTGACTGAGGTTAGCAAATCTTCTCAGCTGTGTTGGGCACTCAGAGGTGATCACTTCTTTCTGCTCACACCAGATCTGCAACACTTCAGACTTCCCCCACTTCCCTATGGGGCAACATTTTTTTGCATCCTTAACCAGACCTGCTGTAAAAAGGTGCTAGACCCTTGGCTCAGATGCTATTCCAAAATACCCTTTTGGAAAAGGGGTCTTGGAGCACACTAAGTTACATTAGTACACTCCATGCATGGGCATATTCCTTCCTCCCGCTTTTCCTTCTCCCTGTCCCAGGAGATATGCACAGAGCTTGCTTTTCTTTTTTTGCATTACGTGTTGCAGGAAGCCTCCCACACCACTGATCCCATTTGACTCACATGTTTGGTATTTGGCTACTGTGCTTGAGAAACTCAGACTCTCATTTATAAGCTAATGTGATATGCTGAATTCTGGACTTGAGTAAATGAGTTAGTATGTATTGTAGCTTATGTTAGTATGTATGTTAGTATATATGTTATACTATAGTATGTTATATGTTAGCATGTAATATAGGAATGCAGAGATTGAATTAAGCTGGTTCCGCATAAAAAGGGGGATGTTTTATTAAAGGTACTAAATAGTGCAGAACAAATTTATTTAGACCATGATTGATAAATTGCTTGGATAATAAAAAACCTGTGATAGGTAAGTTGACACCTGGTAGGAAAAGGTTAAGTATTTAAGTCAGTTTTTTCATACTTTGATTCATTGTAAAGTAAATACTGCTTGTGGGGGGTATGTTAACTTTCTTTCTAAAATGTGTTTGCCCAAGCAGTGAATAGGGGTTATTTCATAAAGTTAAGAAAATAGAAAGTTAAACTTTTATGACATTTATATGTGCCAGCTCTAGATAGAAAGATGCAAGCACTGAGAAAAATATAAGCACTACAGAAACTGTGTCATTTTGACCATACAAGGGGCTAGCTGCCTGGTTAATATCTGGCATTTATGTGAATTTTAGTTCTTTCAGATTCTATTTTTATCCTTCGTTAAATTCTTCTTGGATTGACACAACGGAAATCCCAAAGAAAATTGCTAAGGATTGTTTCCCAAATCCTCTCTTGCTTTTCTTTGCATAATGTTAGGCAAATCTCAAATTTCTGTGCTTCTTTTGGGATCAAGATGAAACAAAAAGTGGGACAAAGATTATTGCACGTCTGCAAGGACAGTAGCCTATATGTCCACTACCAAGGACCACTGCATAGATTTTCAGCCAGTGTGACTCTCTGTTTCTATTTTTCCTGTTTATTGATTAAAAAAATACTGAATCTTCCTTAATTTTCATTCAAAAGTGACACTGCAATGACAAGCTTAGCCATGCTTTAAAAAGTGTACTCTACAGTGGAATACATGTCTGTTTAACCAGTGCATGGAGCTGTACACAGCTTGTCAGCAGCTGGCATCCGCAGCTTTTGGTAGGGACATATCTTTAGGCAGATACAGGGCTGAAAGCTGCAGTGTTGTGGAGCTAAATAAGTACAGATCTGCATGTAGCCAGCTTGGATCTTGATGAACAAACTGCCCAAATCGATATGCCAGATCTGTGGCCCAGCTGCAGTTCTAAGAAACTATATATGTATATATATATATATATATGCTAAAGATAATTTTCAGGCATTTGAAAGTTCTTTTTATTATTATTCTTTTTTTCTGGTCATATACCAGAAAAATCAGATTTCCACTTCTAAAATTAACTCACCAGTTTCTGGTTTTATTTATATGCATTCATAGATGTCTGGAACTAGTTTTTCTACAGAGGGCAGAATTTGAGTCATCATTTCTAAAGCTGAAAGGCTGCTGGATATGCTCAATCTGCCACCTAGGTCTTTTTAATGGAAATACCAATCTGCAATGATCTGGGGGCACATTCTGACACCTTTACTTACTTTACACCTAATTCTGCATGTCATCCTATTGAATGACTTCATTAAATGAGGTCAGAGAATAAATAATCTGAGTCTGAGAGCCTGTAATTTACCATTTGGTAGATGTGGGCTAACGAGGGTTATGTGCTGTTTACTGCATTTCCTGGCATTCCGCTTCATGTAGGAAAGAATGTGTTTCAACACACTTAGGAACAGATTTTGCTTGCCATGAATTGTGTCACTTTGTTTTGTCCACCTGACATCAGTTTACAGTAAGTGAGAAGTTAGATCAGAATATTTTTTCCCATTGAGATAGCCTGTTAATAAGAGTGGGAGGATGTTATAAATCTAGCTTTGCTTAGTTCATGCTTAACAGCCTGAATCAAACAATTGAGATTGCTCTTCACCAAAGGTAATGTGTGTTCTTCTGTAAAAAAGAATGTAAACATGCTCCAACACCTAGAATAACAGCTTTGGTCCTTTTTTTCTGCAGCAATATGAGAACTGGAGACCAAACCAGCCAGACAGTTTCTTTTCTGCTGGAGAAGACTGTGTTGTTATAATATGGCATGAGAATGGGCAGTGGAATGATGTACCATGCAATTATCACCTTACATATACCTGCAAGAAAGGAACAGGTACAAAGTTTCCAGTAACAAGGGTGTCATTCTTTAAATCCCAGTTTTACAAAGTTAAAATGAAAATTCTTGCTTATTTCTGGTGGTCAGTATAGTGAGCCCTCAACTGGGTTAGCCTCAGGAAGTTATCTTCTGTTCACACATTACATCTCTATCTAATCTGTTCTTGAGTCAGGCACAAAAGTGTACACAGTTGAAACTCTTGGTTAAAACCAGGCAAATTTCTTCTTAGGTAGAGATCTCAGCTAAAGAAGCTTTCATGTACCTGGCAGGCCTGTTTTACTTCTATACCATGAATATATTACCAACTCTTCTTTCCTCGAATGGCATCATTGTAAAGCATTTGGGAAGCAGAGTATTGGTAGGCAGGCAGGCAGAGCAGCTGCTGACCACTTGTATGTGGTTAGCTTTTCAGCTTCAGTAATGCTGATCTTTGTCTTCCTCCTTTCCCAAACCACCTCGTTAATGGCACAGCTGGAATCTGGAAAGCTCCATTGGTTTATACACTGTCAGAGCTGATGCAGGAAACCTGGCTGACATCAGGAGCTACACAGAACAGTTTAGGAATTGCCTCTGTCTCTTCACAATGGGAGAGTAAGGAAGCAGCCAAAATCTTGTGCATGCTTCATTGTTCCCAATTACCATTTACAAGATTTTGTTAACATGTTCTCTAAGCCTTCATGGATCCGTCAGTTCTAAGTGCTTTTTAAATAGTCTATTGTTGAGGAGGACATGAGAGCTATTGAAAAAGACTTTTCTTTTAAATGCCTGTACTAACTTCACTAGTTTTCAGGTTTTGCAGCTTTTCAGTGAAAATTACTTCTTTGTGTGACTATGCCAACATTTTTGGCTCAAATTTACATCAAAAATTTAAACCTAAAAGGCAATGGTAACCATACTATCTGCTGTTTTCCAATTTTCATCATTACTGTATTTGGTCTACAAGACTGGAGAAGTACAGAAAAAACTGATCTTGCCATCCTTATTTGGCTGTGTCTCTTAGGAATCTGAGGCTCCTTGACACCCTCCCTTAGCCAGGGTTTAAAGGTCAGTACGATATTCAGAAGTGCCTTTACAAACTGGTGTTTTGTGTTATGCCTTCTCTTCCTTTCAGTTGCTTGCGGTCAGCCTCCTGTTGTGGAAAATGCAAGGACCTTTGGGAAGATGAAACCCCGTTATGAGATCAACTCCCTTATTAGATATCACTGCAAAGATGGTTTCATCCAGCGTCATATTCCAACCATTCGGTGTCAAGGAAATGGAAGATGGGATATGCCTAAAATTACTTGCATGAATCGTGAGTTCTTTGAAAGCAAACCAGTGCTGGATCAGGCAACAGGCTAATTTAGGATTAATAAGTAACAAACATAATATTTTAAGAGAAGTGCAAATCTGGTATGACACTATGACAGCAGCACTGCTCACTCTAGCTATAGAAAGAAACATAGAGCCTCGAAAAGTAATGGAAAATGTTCCTTTTCTGTTTTTACGGAAACCACTGAAATTTTTTTAAAGTAAACAACACTTTTACAAAACACCTGAAACCAAAGGTTCCTAATAACACTAGCAATTCTTTTTGCAACCATGGTCTAACTAAGTGTGAGAGATGTTTCTCCTATCTGTAATGTGATGGGAGTATCAGTTAATCATTTGTTAACTCTCTAATTAATCCATAATAAATGGAACCATAATGTGAAGTGTAGCCAGCTCTTAGTCATTAAATAATTTTAAATTAATTTCCCTTTTTCCCTCCTTCTTATGGCAGCATCCACGTACCAAAGGACTTATTCTAAGAAATACTACTATAAACATTCTTCATCAGGAAAAGGAACATTGTCAAATTCATCAAAGCACTATCATCGCTGGTTCCGGACGTGGCAGGACTCAAGGCGCTGAGAGCGAAATGGTGAATGGGGATCCTCCACCATTTCAGCCAAAGTCATAACTTTCTGTGCCTTTTTCTATCACTTATTAGGAGTATTATCAAATTGTTTTGAAACTATGGACTGCGGTATTCACAATGCATTTTGCAAAAACATGGTGTTTATCAGAAAATTAAAAAATAAAAAAAAAAGGAGAAGTGCTTATGGGGATAAAAGGAAACCATTTCCAGCCTATAAAGATAATAGTTTTCTATATACCATCAGTGTGGACCATTTTATGATATATACCAGCCTTCTGCAATATTTAAACAGCTCGATTTTAGCACCAATGAAAATGTAAATAAGATGATTTTAATGTGTTTGATTGTGTGTTGGTTTTAAAATCTTGTATATAAAATGAAAAGTCACACTAATTTCAGGCATATTTATGATTAGAAGGGCCTCAGAGGTCTTCAGTCATTTATGACATTGTTTTTATGTTGTTTACCTAGGCTGGAAATGGTTGAAATAACTTCACTGACTGAAATTTGTTGTTATCAGGTGAAGATAAACACACAAGTGACATGAATTTATCTTTTTTTTTTTTTTTAAATGGGAACTGTGCCGATTCCCATCCAAGGTACAGTTTGTGTCCATGTGATGCAAAGTTTAGGTAGAGCACATAGAAGTGGTATGAAGCATGAAATAGGGATTGCAATGTGGAACATTTTTTTCCTGCTCTCCGTTCCAGCTTCAACATTCATGAAAAAGGACTGCATGGAGGAGTTGTGTATGACAAAGCGGGCCTGTAAAAAATCCAAGTGCTAATACATTAACTTTACCAAACACGGCCACTTTTTTAAAAAGAAAGAAAAAAATGGGGAAAAAAGAAAATTAGAAATTACTTTCACGACATTAACCACAAGGTCTATATCACAGGTCTCTGCATTCTATAATGGAGATAGACCTGGTGTTTGGGGGATTTTTTTTTTTTTGTAAAAACAAACAAAAATCAAAAAAGTAAATAATTTTGTATATATAACCATTTTTAATCTTTTTATAAAGTAATGAATGTTTGTGTATGAATGCTGCAGCTGTGAAGCGTACATAAATAAATGAAGTAAGCCATACTGATTTAATTTATTGGATGTTTTTTTACCCATGCAAAGAAGATTCAAAGAGCTCACTAGTGCAGTATTGGCCCATGAGCTCCAGTTTTGGAACTATCTTTCAGTTCAACTGCTGTTTCCCTGGAGAGCAAAATTCCTGCTAAACAGGATCATTTGTTTGCAGTTGGATGGGTGAAAACTTGTGTGACCCACAGAAGAATCAGAATCTTGGCTTTCTAGAAAGATGTGTGTGCACAAACAGATTATAGGTTTTAGCTGGTGCAGTGTGTACGTAGGACTTCTCTATTATGGCTTCTTACCCCAGTCAGCTCGATGACTGACTTGGATGTGTACAGTAAGTGTAGAACGTAATGTTTGAAACGACCTCTCCACAGAAAAGACTGTTATTTCTGCAAAGTGCCTTGTACACCTTTGGGCACAGGAAAAAAAAAAAAAAAGAAAGAAAAAGAAAAAAAAAGTGAAAATAAAAGAACAGTAAGTTCCCTATGATATACCTTTTAAAATAACATTGCAAATACAGAACACATGTGGGAGGTTTACACCTTTGTGTTAGTGTGGGGTTACGATGCATAAAAATTGGAAGGGAAAGGAAAAGATTTGAAACCCGGCCAACATGTAAGTGTTTGTACCAGGCACAGCTGCCCATGGAGTGACCTTGCCACAGCTCATTGGGAACAGTAATTACAGTTCCAGATGACATCTCTGAAGGAATTGCAGTGATCACCCCATTGAGTGTACTCAACCCTTATGCACTCAGTGTGGCAGTTCTTGCTGTGTTGGCCGGTTCATTCCCCACCCCTCACCCCCAAACAATGCACATAATACTTTTCTCTATTTATATTATTATCTTGTATAGTGTATAATGTGAATGTCTGGGTTTTTTGTGAATGAAAATCTAAAATCTTTGTAACTTTTATATCTGCTTCTGTTTCACCAAAGAAACAAGGTTTTGCTATACTGTGACTTGTCTTGTTATTGCATGTCTTCCTGTTTAAATCTATGCAATGTGATTTTTTTCATATGAATACAGTTAGACTGTCAGGTACTTCACAATTATCATGGGCCTAATCAAGTGCCCACTGGAGTCAAAAGAGAGTCAGCTGGCTGAACTTTAGTAGATGCTGCGTTTGACTTTATATGAGCAGCTCTAGGGGATATTTTAAGATATACGATATTTTAAGATATACATTGTATGTTTTGAAGTTGATTATTGCTTGTATAAGTCAAGGCTCTTTCATAAATATACAGTATTCTACACATCATTCCCTGTACCAGAAACATACAGAACAGAAAATATATTTTAACATTTTGCAAACTTTCTCACCATATGTATAAAAAACCCTGCATAGATTTGTTGTTTCCTTGTCTACTTGTTGGATTTTAAACAGTGTTGTAAGACATTCCGATAACATTGTGATTGTAGTTTTAAATAGGTTAGAAACAGTGCTTATATTGATTTTTTTTCACCTCCTTCTATTACTCATAATAAAATAGGACTGACAACATTCCTTATTAAAAAAAAAAAAAAACAAAAACAAAAAAAAACAACCACAAACAAAAAGAAAAGCTGTTACCCATGCTTGTTTATTTAGACAGAGAATGGAACTCTATTTATCATTGGAAACTTTTTCTGATACTAATCTAAACCCCAAATGTTCCAATACCAACCCCCTACATAATGCACCACAACGTGCACCTTGACTGCTTGATGTAGAGCATCTTCAAACTCCGGTATGAAGAAGCGTGTTGGGACCGCAGTAGAGGGATAGAAGACAAAAGTAGAGTCTTAAATACATTTTTTCTAAGATCTGAAGCAGACCCAGGCAATGGATCCATGTTTGTAAGTTCCCTGTTTCTTCGTAGTGGCTTCAAAGTGGCTTTTTCCTAAGCAGGAGAGGGAATTTTTGATTCCAAGAGCAGTACAATCCCAGGATGCTGACTGCATGGTTAAAACAAACCTTTAGTAAGATTAGAAAAGTGGGGGTGAAAGCAGCAGATGTTGCTGGCAGTACTATTTGCTTGCTGAATGGAAGATCCTTTTGATCATGAAATCCACACCAGTTCTTCCACTTCAGCTTGCTCATCTTAAACCATGGCAGCTTACACACATGCTCAAATCCTGACCAAGTATGTGGGAGGATAATGGGACCAGTGGTGGTCCAAGTACACTTTCCATGTTGAGCTCTTGGTGGGTGAAGAGGCAGCCCCCAGCTCCAAATGGCTGCAGAGATGGTGCTGTAGCTGCATTACCAGCAGTGTAAGGTGCCTCAGAGGTGCAAGTGCCACGCTGGAGCTAATGCCCTGTGTGTCGTAAAAGGGCATTTAAATAGAAACATGTGCTGTGTTAACAAAACCTTTGGTGTATTTCAAACCATGCTGTGGCCAGCCTGGTATTTGCAGATTGAAAATGTCTGATGTACAGTGCTGAAATATCAGCTATGCCCCTTTGTTTTTGAGGAAAATAAAGAAGTTTTCCTCTCAATAGGCTGAACAGGTCATGCTGTTTTTCTTATGCTTTTAGGCTTAAAGAGAATTGTAATCCCTGCACAGACTCATTGATCATGGAACAAGATCAATTACACCCCACGGAGCCTTGCAGACACCATCTCCGTTAGGTATCTCTGTTAACAGGATCTGCAGCACGTTTCGGTAAAGGTCTGTCTGCTTGAGCTGTGCCATCACTGATAGGGACCAGCAGCAGACACTTCAAACATGACTGGAAGAAGTCTGGAACCCTTCTTCCCTGTCTCCTGCAGCCTGGCTCCCTCCCTGTGGCCATTTTCCAGACTGACATTTTCAAAGGCAGAGTAAGAAGGGTGAAAATCAACAGAAAATAACAGTGTTATGGAAGGAAATTGTGATGTCAGAGGTGAAAATGCAGGATGAATGATGGGAGGAAAAATATATGGGTATTGATTAGAAAATGGAAAATCAATCTATGGTTAATATTGCGGAACTTGAATTTATACCAGCGAATTTATACCAGCCAGGCAGTGATAGCCCTAGAAAGTGCACATCAGCATAATAGCTACATATAAAATACAGCATATACTATTGTAGTTTTTATAAACTAGCCCAAATGAGTGTGCTCTTTGTTTAGTTTTTGTTTGGACTCTGTGGTTTCAGACACTTTAAAACAGTTACTTCAATCCTTCAGGACTTCATTTACGACAGAGCTTTTAGCCTGTGTTTGAGCAAGTGGGCTGCACTTTTAGTCTCTAGTGCTCAAAAATTGTCAGGAAAAATGTTTGCACTTGTGAAGCAAACCTTTTGAATTCAAAATGACAGGCAATGTGGACACAAAGATTTCTCATGTTGCCTGAAGTGACATTAACACACTGCTGATGTGAAATGACTTCTGATGATAAGAGAAGATCTCAACACATCCAGCATTTAATGTCACCCTTGACTGGGAGATTCTTCCTGTAGAAAAGATTCCAAATGTGAAAATTAAGGAAAAGCTTGGAGTTTAGTCTACAGAAGGATTTTGAGCTTTAGAGTATACAGTATACAATTATAAAGAGAAGTGAGTTTACCTTTAAGAACATAGTTTTGTAGTTGCATATAGCAAATCTTCATTTTTCAGGGGTAAAAAGTCAGATGGTTGTATTTTGATTGACTCATTACAGTGGGTCCAAGGCATTATTAACTGCATCAAGGCTAACATCAGAGGAAAAAAATGTTCATAGAATCACAGACTGGTTTGGGTTGGAAGGAACATTAAAGCTCATCCAGTTCCAGCCCCCTGCCATGTGCAGGGACACCTTCTGTTAGACCAAATTGCTCCAAGCCCCGTCCAACCTGGCCTTGAACACTGCTGGGGGTGGGGCACCCACAACCTCTCTGGACAACCCATTCCAGTGCCACACCACCCTCACAGTAAAGAACTTCTTCTTCATATCCAACCTGAACTTCCCCTGTTTAAGTTTTAACCTGTTACCCCTTGTCTTGTCACGATAGTCCCTAATGAAGAGTCCCTCCCCAGCATCCTCATAAGCCCACTTCAGATACTGGAAGGCTGCTATGAGGTCTCCATGCAGCCTTCTCTTCTCCGGGCTGAACAGCCCCAACTTTCTCAGCCTGTCTTCATACGGGAGGTGCTCCAGTCCCATCCTCATGGCCCTCCTCTGGACTTGTTCCAAAGGTTCCATGTCGTTTTTCTGTTGAGGACACCAGAACTGCACACAATACTCCAAGTGAGGTCTCACAAGAGCAGAGTAGAGGGGCAGGATCACCTCCTTTGACCTGCTGGTCACGCTCCTTTTGATGCAGCCCAGGATACAGTTGGTTAAATTGGTGAGGCAGGATTTCCCCTTAGTGAAGCCATGTTGGCTGTCACCAGCCACCTCATTGTCATTCATCTGCCTTAGCATGCCTTCCAAGAGAACCTGCTCCAAGATTTTCCCAGGCACAGAGGTGAGACTGGTCTGCAGTTTCCTGGGTCATCCCTTTTCCCGTTCTTGAGAATGGGGGTTATATTTCCCTTTTCCCAGTCATCAGGAACTTCACCTGAGTGCCATGATTTCTCAAATATGGACAGTGGCTTAGCAACTTCATTTGCCTGCTCCTTCAGGTCCTGTTAATGGATTTCATCAGGTCCCATGGACTTGTGAGTGTTCAGGTTCTTGTGCACATTCACATTCTGCTCAAGATGCAGTATGGAAACAACCTTTGTCCAAGGATCATGAAGAAATGCTTAAGGATGAAAAGCTTGATCTTACAAGATATTAGCACCTCCTCCTACTCGTTCTTGAAGTAGATATGGGTTTGTAAAAGCTAATTTTCAATACTAAATGGCTCAGTGTCCCTGGGATTTGAAGTTTTGCTCCAATATTTATTAATAGAAGTATCTTATTTTGCAATATGGTTAACATAATGCCCAGAGGCAAAGTTTACAAAGGTAAAGCCAAAGACAACTAAAAGACCATTAAACTATGACTCTATGAAATAAACAAATGATGAAATTTTCATGTTTTGCTCCATTGTGTGTTCAGGAGCAAGTTCAAAAGGGCTGGATTAAAGGGGAGGGCTGAGAAACATGACTATCTGCAATATTAGCTATTCAGACAAAAAAATCCATAATGAGGAAAATGTGTCGACCAAAACCACATAGCAAAGAACTTCTGCTAATGTCTAACCTAAACTCCTCTCTTTCAATTCAGTTTAATTGAACTCAAATCGAGTTCGAACTTTGGAAATGCTGGAATGCTATTGATTCTTTATTTTCACTTCTATTTTATTTTATTTTATTTTATTTTATTTTATCACAGTATCACAGTATGTTAGAGATTGGAAGGGACCTCGAAAGATCATCTAGTCCAATCCCCCTGCCGGAGCAGGAACACCTAGATAATGTTACACAGGAATGCGTCCAGGCGGGTTTTGAATGTCTCCAGGGAAGGAGACTCCACAGCCTCGCTGGGCAGCCTGTTCCAGTGTATTTTATTTTATTTTATTTTATTTTATTTTATTTTATTTTATTTCATTTTTAGGTTTTGCTGTTTCAATGGTCTGAACATCTTCATTTTTTTAATGAAGTCTGCACAGCTGTTTGGACTTGGAAAAAAAGACCTTAACCCCCTGATTATTACAGGCTTGAGGTGTTACAGTTGAATCTCAAGCCTGCATGGGAAACAAAAAAAAGTTTGTCAGGTTATAGACAGGCACTGACACATTCAGAAGTCTCCTCTGAGGCATAAGAATTTGCACAGATAGCCACTATGTACATTTTATTAATAACGTTATGGTGAACAGACTTAGGAAATTCTAGTGCCTGTTAATATAGTTTTCATTATGGCCCTTCTTAAAGTTGCTTGAAACTGAAATGGAAAAAAAATATATTATTTCCCTTCATCACTTGAGTCTTTGTGGTGGTGTCATGTATCCTTATACATCCTTTTATAAAAAGCAGAAAACTCCAGTGAGAGTGTAAAAATGTGTGTTTTTAGTGAATACGGTGCTTGTTCCTCCCCCTTTCTGTGTTGGCTACTTCAAAAGAAATCTGGTATTTGTTACCATATTAGGATCAGTTTTCAGATTTAACCTTGAAGTAGGAGTGTGCCTCCACTGAGAAGACTTCACAGCAACAGGCTCTATGCAGTAAAGAAAGCTCTCAGCTATCAGTTTGTCCTTGTAGGACAACAATCCTTACACATCATATTATTTTTCTTTTTCATCTGTGCATTTCACTGAAGTAGGACGGGGTCCACTCAAGAGCCATTTGGTCAAACTTCAGTACACAGAGAGCTCACAGTAAGCCTTTCCCCTTCAGGCATAAAAAAGAAGCTGTGGTTAAGGATTTCTGCAACTGAGTTA